ATGATGTGTGCTATGTATACTAGCAAACAATTTGCATTTAAGCATGTGTACATAGGAATAAATACAAACATGTACATATTTAGTATGTTCATTTTTTCAAATCAAATATTGATAAGCGAAAAAAAATTATTACCCCTAAAAATTGTACATATTTAGCATGTTCATTTTTTCAAATCAAATATTGGTAAGCGGAAAAAAAATATTTTTTAATTGTCAATGTCTTTGCATATATCATCTATTAACGTTAACGGATTAAGGGATAAAAGAAAGCGAATGTGTATATTTTCATGGTTGAGCAAGCGTACCTGTAAATATGATGTAGTTTGTTTACAAGAGACTCACGGAACTGACCTAGATACCGAGAGATGGAAACATGAATGGAAAGAATTTAACGGTACTAATTCTATATGGAATAACTGGTCTAGTGAACCACGGGGTGTTGGGATATTATTTATGAAAAAAAATGAATTAAAAGTTAGCGATGTAAAATTCGACAAATATGGACGGGAAATAGACATATGCCTTATGATAAACACAATAAAAATTGGACTTAAAAATATTTATGCACCAAACATTGTGAATGAAAGAAAATCAAATCTTTTTTTAAACATCTGACCTTTAAAAATTTAGATTATAAGATAATATGTGGTGACTTTAACTGTGCCATAGATAAAAATATGGATAGGCATCCAATTCCAGTTAAAAATGATCCTAGTAAAGACGAATTCGATAAATTTCTTAGAGATAACGAACTAGAAGATATTTGGCGAGAAAGACACTTAGAGAGAAGATGCTATACGTTCCATAGATGTAATTCTAAGTCTAGAATCGATTATTTTCTTATTAGTGAAAATTTATCACATAAAATCAAAAATACAAGAATAACACATTTTCCACTAAGCGATCATGATCTCATTTCGATAAAGTTACATGTAGAAGAAGTCGATCGAGGCCCGGGGGTATGGGCAATGAATGTAAAAACTATTTTAAGAGAAGATTTCAAGAAAACATTTACTGAGTTTTGGAATAATTACAAATTAAGTCTAGAAAAATATGATAATGTTCATGAATGGTGGAATTTGACAAAAAATAAAATTAAATCAATCTGTATAGAGTTATCCAAGACCTATCATACTAGCAAGAAAAAATGTGAAAAATTAGAAAAAGAAATTGACAGCATAAAAAACAACCCTAATACGGATAAAGAATATTTGAATGCGATTGAGCAAAAATTAAAGGATATCTTGAAAGAAAAAACAGAAGCCGCAATTTTGAGATCTAAATGCAAGTGGTTTTCTGAAGGAGAAGTGCCCTCCTCGTATTTCTTCCAATTAGAGAAAAAAAATGGTGAAAACAAACTATGGGTAAGAATAAAATGTGATGACGGGACATATAAAACAGATATTGATTCTATAATTGAGGAACAAATAAAATTTTACAAAGAATTATTAAACACCGAAGGGTGCGACCCAGAAAGAGGAGATAAATTGTTAAAAGATGTTTATAGTAAACTTAACACTGAAGAAAAAGAAATGCTTGATCGCGATATAAATGAAAAAGAAATTCATAACGCGATAATGACATTAAAAATTAATAAATCACCAGGGGAAGATGGTATTACTTCAAATTTTTACCAAATTTATTGGGATATTATTAAAGACGAATTTACCAAAGTGATTAAACATATCTTTAACCACAATTTACTTTGCGACTCCCAAACGAAAGGTATTTTATCCCTAATTCACAAAGGGGGAGAACGCGAAAGTATAAAGAATTGGAGACCTCTGACAATGTTAAATACAGACTATAAAATAATTGCAAAAATACTTGCTGAAAGATTAAAATCTGTCCTGCCAAAACTTATACATCCTGATCAAAAAGGTTTTGTAAAGGGAAGAAATATAAGCGATGCCAATAGAATTATACAAGATATTATTGATTTCGCAGATAATGAAGACTTAGAAGGAGCAATAATTTTTCTTGATCAACAAAAAGCATTTGATAGATTAGAATGGGAATGGTTAGACTCTACCTTAAAAAACTTTAATTTTGGAAATAAATACTGCAACTGGATAAAAATGTTGTTAATAAATGCAAAAACCTGCATTAAAACAAATGGGTTCCTCTCCAAATACTTTACAATATCAAGATCAGCTAGACAAGGGTGTCCTATAGCTCCCTTGCTATATGTATTACAAATAGAACCTTTGGCTTGCGCCATACGCCAAAATCCCAACATTAAAGGTATACATATTCCTAATAATAATCAGCACATTGAATGCAAAATCAATATATTTGCTGATGATACCCAGTTGTTCAATAAAGACGAAGAATCTATAGAAGAATCCTTTAAAATCTTAGAAATATATGAAAAAGCATCAGGCGCAAAAATAAATTTTGATAAAACAAAGGGCTTATATATTGGAAAATCAAGGGGTAAAAAACCTAAATTCAATAAAATTCAGTGGACCACAACGCATGTTAAAACATTAGGTGTGAACCACGGATACGATATTGATATTGAAGCTATATGGATGGAAAAATAGAAAGAATAACCAATTGCCTTCATGTTTGGAAAACTAGAAATTTGACATTTAAAGGAAAAACATTAATAATTAAAAATCTTGTAATTCCTATTATTGGTTATGAAATTGAAATGAGAGGCATACCAAATATTTACAGTAAAAAAATTAATGACATTATCTGGTCTTATATTTGGGATCAGAAAGTAAACAAAGTAGATAGAAATGTTTGTTGCCTTAGTAAAGCTGAGGGGGGATTAGACATGATAAATTTATTTATATTTATTAAAAGTAAACAAATTAAAACAATATACAAAATAATGCACTCTGAACTTGAAAACTGGAATGCTATAGGAAAGCTCTGGCTAAAAAGTAAAGATATTCATCCAATACAGGAATATTTTATTTGCAATTGCTCTGATCTTATGAACATATCTCTTAATAAACTACCCACATTTTATAAAAATGCATTATTGGCATACAGTGAATTTAGATCACACTTTCCACCAGAAAGCAAAGATGAAGTTTTGAAATGTCAGATTTTTGGAAATAAAGATATACAATTTCGAGGCAAAAGCCTATATATAGAGTCTTTTATTAAATGTGGTCTACAAACTATTGGAGATATTTGGGATAATGATACTAAGACTTTTAAGACTAATGCATACATATTTTCAAAACTTCTTGATAAAAGAAGTTGGATTTTTGAATACAGTAAAATAAAAACCACTATACCTAAAACCTATCTTGACATTCTAGAAGGGAGCAATACTGTAAATAGAAAAGATAATGAAATAAATAATTTTTTGTGATGTGTGATAATTTTTTATTTGTAAGAAAAACAAACAAGCTCATAAATTTTGAAGATATAAAACTCAAAGATATACAAAGAGTATTAAACAAAAATATCACTCCAAAGTCCAAACAAAAATGGGAGAAACTGATGCAAACTGAAATTATATGGAAAAAGATTTGGGGCTCAATTTATGAAGTTAGGTTAAAACAAAAGATTCAAGAATTTCAATGGAAATGTTTGCATAACATTTTATACACTGAAGAAAAATTAAGCAAAATGGGTTTTTCAAATGGTAATTGTTTTTTCTGTAAATCAAATATTGAGAGTCAGAAACATCTATTTTATGAATGTAAACATGTCAAACCACTTTTAGAATTGGTACAAAATATAATGTTAAAAATCTCTGTAATAAATTCAGTCAAAGTTGATGTATGTATTGTTTTATTGGGATTCGCAGGAGAACCCAAAAATGTTCGAATATGTATTAACACCTTGATTTATATATACAAGTGGTCAATATGGAAAACAAGAAACAGCATTAAGTATGAAAATAAAAATATTACAAATTCAGCACTCTTAAGTGACTTCAAGAAAGAAATGAAATCAATCTTTCAACTCTTAAGAAATAATAAGAGTAACTTCAACAGAAATTTAAAATTAACATTAGATATGCTTACAGACTTTGATTAACTGATGCTTTCATAGTTATATATTTACATTCTATTGTCATATTTTCACCAAAACTGATTCCATATTTATATATACGTATATTATTTGATTTATAATATGTATAAGATGTAAAATTATGTGTGACTTTGTATTTAAATAATAAAGCACCCTGCGTGGTGCTGTAGGGATTATTATTATGTATTGTTATAGAGGGAGCTTAGTCAGGGCCCCATCCCTGGCAGCTGCCCAACTTATCAGCTGTTGACTGTTATAGGTCTCGGAAATAAAGGAAAAAAAAAATTATTAAAATGAATAAGTTTCACCCCGTTTGTTTTAATTTGTTTTTCAATTTTGCTCAAAAATGGAATTTAAAGTGAAAAATATTTGTATAGATTTAAAATTATGGTTTCAGAATGGCAGACTTTTGAACATCACAGAAGGTTTACAACTTCTTTATATTCTAGAAATTTATTATATGCATCAAAATATATACCAATCCAGGCATCTATCTTTGGTTTGTATCATCTGTCCTTAATATCAATTCCTCGAAAAATTTAACTGGTTAGCAATAATAAAACTATTGGTTTTCTTCTTAAAATTTCTCACACCTGCAAACATTTCCATTACTGTAACAATGCTTTCCGTCTACTTTCCAATTTCTTTGAAAATATCTACAGTCTTTAACTATCGTCCTTCTCTAAAGAAAACGTTAAGTTGAATAGATGAGGAATTTGTAAATGTATGTATGGCATCCATACCGCTATAATGATTCGTAAATATTCAGTCGAATATTCACGACATTGATAAGGTATTCATGCATGTAGCTGTTGATTTGTAAATCTTTGTTGTTTTTACATGAAATTAATCTCTGATAACAAAAACGTGAGCGTTTCACCTGAAAGATTGTTCATTTGAATTGGTTTAAACATCTCCTGTTACTCAACATGCTGTTTCCTAGTAAGAACACAAATGTACCACAAGAAACATTATGTCGCATTTTGTTTCCTTTTCAGATATGCATATCAGAGTAAAGATTGGTAAGACCTTATTCCTGATATATCCTTCTTACAAATTAACTTAGAAGACTAAAAGTTGACAAAAATACATAGATGTTTATTTGATGTTTCAAGCCAATTTGAAGATATTTCTGGATTTTTTAGATACAACAAGAGCTGCATTAGAAAATCAAGAACTAAAAATAAAGGATGTATTTGTTCAAACACGTGCAACTAAAAGAGTATTAGAACTTTTAGAGTCAAATAGATATGTCCTTGTAAAAGGAAACCCGGGATCTGGGAAAACCACAATTGCCACGCACGTCTTAACAGAGTTACAGAAGAAAGGGATGTCTCCTCTTCAGGTTTTCACTGTTGAAGAATTGTACGGATCCGTGTCACCGAATTCAAACGTCGCTTTATTCTTAGATAATTTATTCGGGGAGTTCTCAGTTTCAAATGAGGTTGACAACTTTAAAGCCAAGTTACATTTGATCAAAGCAATGTGGAATAATGATAATTGTAAGGGAAATGTTTTAATCATAACAATCAGAAATGATATTTGCAAAGAAGCAACCGAAAGAATAAATGAAGAGTTATTTTTAAACAATTCTTCAATTGACATATCTAATGGGAAGTTTCAAATGCAAAGTTCAGAAATAGAAGAAATGTTCACAAAGTATGGTCTTGATAAAATGATAACATCAGATACAATGCTGGATGTTATTAAACTAGGAAATTCACTTGGAATCCCCCAATGTTGCAGCCTCTTGAAAAATAATCCAATATTTTCCGAAAACCCTCAAACTTTTTTAAAGGATCCTATTCTAAGCTTGGAAAATTATATAAAACAAAGGTTGGATCGAAAAGAAAGCAAAATGTCAGTTTTAATCTATATTCTTCTCTGTGGAGGGAACGTTGAAGAAAGTGTGATGAAAACACCTTCACGAGATAGAACGCGGAAAGAAGAAGCACTGAAAATGTTAGGAGCCACAGAGTCTTCACTAAGGGATTTTCAAAATTCAATCTTTCATTTCGACCATTTTTTGATAACTTATGACAACATGGAAAGAAAGTATAAATTTAGTCATAGCTCAGTACAAGAGAGTTTATTTAAATGTCTTGTCAATTATTACCCACAAGAAATTATCAAGAGTTGTGATTTTACCCTTCTAGAAAG